CAACATTCTAATTTAATCTTCTCAAACAAAAATTTCAACTCAAATTAATATTTCGTTCAACTTATTCATCCTCTGGCTAAAAACATCTAACACGTCAAAAGTGATAGGGAAGAAATGTCAACTTAATAGTGTATTTCGAATAAAAAAATTTTTAAATTTTTTTAAAAAAGCCAAGAGAGAGAGAGAGAGAGAGAGAGAGAGGGGTCGTGACTTGCAACTTGCAAGTGGTAGTAGCACTTAGCAGTGGGGCAAAACAAGGAAATAACAAGTCTTCAAGGGGTACTTTTTAAATTAAATTTTTTTTTCAATTTTCCGATCTTAATTTTCCAAAGCTACAATAAGCTGAGCGGAAGAGTGAAAGAGGTTGGATAAAGTCATAAACCCTGTGTTTTTCAGCTCGCCATCGGCTCCTTTTCACTCCACTCTCCCCACTCCCAACTCCCATGAATCCACGCTCTTTCTCCATTTAGGTAAAATTTCTGTTTCGATTTATCTTTCTTACTGTGTGTGTTCGTGTGGTAGTGTGTGAATTTCTGTATACCACTATAATCTTACAGGTATATACAGGGTTTCTAATAGCAGACAAGTGTGCCAATTTTTTTTTATAACCTGTATTTTGGGATTTTTGGACCTGTTCTTTACTGGGTCTTGGATTTTGACTAATGGGTTTTGAGTTTTACGGGGATTTTTTTTTGGGGGGTTAAATATTGTATTATATTTGCAGAAATTGGCAAAGATTGTACATTCTTGTTAAATGTATGAAAATTTTGGCTGTTTGTTTTTTACGAAATATTGTGCTTCTGTTCTTTTGCATTGTAATTAGTATGGAAAGATAGGATCAGGACTGGTAATTCATATTTGTGGTTTTGGGATTATCATATTCGGGGAAATTCAAGCAAAAATGGTTTTTTTGTTTACTTCATTTTGAGATTATTCTGTGATTTCTCTGGAAATGCAGACATAAAATGCTTAAACAGAAAGTCATTTGGGAAGCCTGAAAATGCATTAGATGAGGATATTGCTTGCCCAATTTACGTATTAGACCCAGCCCGTGGAAGATTTGTTTGAGGCTCAGCTGCATAGCTCATTGATTTAGCCATTGGGTTTTGGACCTTTGGTAATCACGGTTGATATGAATAAAAATGCTGTTGATATGAATAAAAATGCTTGCAATGAATTATTGGAATGTAGTAAATTTTCAAGTACAATCTTCAAAACTAGATGGATATGCACCCACTTTTCCTTAATGTTTTGAAAGGCTCTGGTAATCACTATTGTGAAAAGTGACGAAGTGAATCGTCAGTAGAAGGTATTGAAAGGTGGATGAGTTTTCGATACTGCTTCAAAGTTTTAAGTTGTTGTAATATCTATTAAGAGTTTGTGAAGGCATCTACTTAGGATCTACATGTGGTGCACACGCACAATTATCTGTTCTTCCCTTCTAGTGACGTTTCAGTCCAAAGTGCTGAATTTTCTGAGTAGTCTTCTGTGATTTATTAAGCAGTCTTCTTTTATGGGTTTACTTGGAGGTTTATGTGCGTCAATTTCTTGTTACTGTAGTAATATCATGAGAAAAGAAAAGTCTTCCACTTTGCTTCTATTTTTCTGATTTTGAATTTAATTTTCATTTTTTCTGTCATATTGAAGTGTGTGAAATGTTTTCACTTTCTTGATTGTAGACCTTTACAAGGTAACTGAATATGATTTTACATGGATGCCGTTTGAACTCTGGAGATGCTTCTATGCCTTACATGGCATGTAATCTGAAGTCTTATAGGTTAGCATCTTCAGGCATACCTTGTTTGTCTCCCAGCGTTGTATTAGCGAGTGCTGGAAGTTCTTGGGCCCCGCATCACAACCGTATATCCTGCTTGAAAGGTGTGTCTGTCTATCTTTTGAGGGTTATTTATTATCCAGCCTTGTCGCTTATAAACATATACGTAGAGTGTTATCTCTATCCTATTTATTTTGATATAAAACCAGGTGGCTCCTGTGCTTGGTGTTACTGATGTTTAGGTAAAGGAAATGTTTATTTCTCAGTTATGTAATTTTTCTTAGTTGTCCTTTTCTCATATATCTTAAAGGGCCTCTGTAGCTGGATGGCCCTCTTAAGTTTCTGTATAGATTTGAGTTCATATTTTTCAAACAAGATATAGTCTTGCCGTCTTTATGAATTGAACTGTGGGGGAAAAGTTTTTCTTACTACCTATCAACTTTACTGGATTGAAGTGGAAGTAGAACTAGATGCGATTAAAGTCATTGCCATCTCAAGTAATTCTGCTTCACTGTTGTTTGCCCATGTCCAAACAATTTAGTACACCAGCGATCAGAGTCTACATGCTTGTGCACTTTGGTGTTGACCACCTGAAGGGAGCAATTAGATAACAAATAGTATGTTGTTATTGCATTATAAGACAGATCAGGTTAGAATTTAATGGTACATATGGACAATGGGCTTTTCATGTGCAGAGTCTCTCCAGAAAACTACCATTGATATTCTGAAAATATGGTGGCCAATTGTTCAAATGATTTTGAAGCCCTTGAATTTTTGTTTTGGCAGCCATCCTCTTTGCTTTCGTCCTTAATTATGGAATATTTTTGCCTTATCTTAGCTGTTTCAGATGTTTTTAAGTCTATTACAGTTTTCATCTCTATGAATCATTTTCTTAAATATTGTTCTGATTGGTCATTTCAGGAATTCAGATTCTCAGTCTTTCTTTTGCTTCATCACCACTGTTAAATGGTGAACTAGGTGGGCTATCACATGCTGTACCTAGGTTACCTAAGCGCCGCCAGTTTTTTCGACCTCCAAGGGCAGCAAAGGATGATGTTCCTTACAGCTATAGATACCCTGCCATGACCAAGAAGCCCAGGTGGTGGTGGAGAACTTTGGCATGCCTCCCTTATCTGATGCCTCTACATGAAACATGGATGTATGCTGAGACAGCATATCATCTACATCCCTTCTTGGAGGATTTTGAGTTTTTAACATACCCTTTTTTGGGAGCCATAGGGAGGTTGCCAAGTTGGTTTCTGATGGCATATTTTTTCGTTGCATATCTAGGAGTTGTTAGGAGAAAAGAGTGGCCTCATTTCTTCAGATTCCATGTGGTGATGGGCATGCTTCTTGAGATAGCTCTGCAGGTTATTGGCACTGTGAGCCGCTGGATGCCTCTTTCTGTATACTGGGGAAAGATTGGAATGCACTTTTGGACTGCTGTTGCATTTGCTTACCTGTTTACTGTTTTAGAGTCCATGAGGTGTGCCCTTGCTGGAATGTATGCTGACATTCCATTTGTATGCGACGCGGCATACATTCAAATTCCATATGACTAAAGAAAGGCCTTGAAGGATGACTATTAGTTTCCTTTTCTGATGGAACATTTAAGACATCGGCGATGTGGATATTGATCTATCATGGATTGAACCTGAAAGTTCTGATGTTTAATTTTCATTTCTCTTTTACAATTTTGGCTTTTGGAGATAGCTTTGGACCTCAATTTAACTAAATTTTGTACCGTCCCTTATTATACATGTATGTCTTGGGAGAATATGTAATGGGCATGAACAAGCAAAAGTTTAGGATGTCTTTCGGCTTTTGGAAATCAGATCACCCTATCTTCATTGTTGTTGTTTCAACTCAAAGTTCGCCGTAAAATGGTGAAGTTAATTATTTTAGGGTAGTTCTTCTTCCCTATTAAATTTTTGCATTATAAGGTTTTCTTTTTGCATTCATGGCTACCCTTCAGCCACAGCCCCTTTAGCCGGTCTTTTGCCGACTTTCTTGGTGACTCTCTGGTGCTTTCTCCCTTGCGGATAAACAGACTTCCAAACGCAAAGGGGTGCCTGCAGTTTTATTTTTCTAAAGATGAAACTCTGAAGCTAGCAGCGCAAGAGTCTGGAGTAGGAAACAATTAAAGTCTAGAGTTGGACCTTCTTTGGTTGATCATGCCTTGGCTTCTCCATCCTATTGGTTTGGGGGAGACTAGTCAGTATACAAACAAGAGGATTGATGATATTCAAGCTGCCCCTTTCTCTACTTGGACACCCTTTTAGTAGGAAGCCACTGGGTGAGATTAGTGCAGATACTTTGGAGCAAGGTCAAATTTGCGATTCTCCCACTTCTTTCTTGGATTCAAATGATCTTGATTTAGATAAATGTCTAGCAGAGCTAAAGTTCAACAGCAAGACATAATTGGATGCCCCATCCAAGGAATTCAATGATGCGTAAATGAACATTTTGAGGTAAAAAAAAAAAAAAGAACAAAAACAGAGTAGACAATGTCAGAAAGGACACGAAGTGTGCAAGAGTAAGCACAAGCACAAATGAAGTGGCTGAATTTTATTCCTGAACCTTCCTCTTCTCCATTACATGGTCGCAAGCCCAAATGACAACTTGACAAAAAATTTTAAAAATCTTGAAGTTGTTTGCCTGTTTTGGTATCATGGGGCGAGGCCAGCCTCCAGGGCTCTCCAACATGGCTGCATTTGAAATCAACCAAATAAAATTCAAGTTGTACAAGACTCTCCTGCAGTTGTACATGCTTTTTGTGTAGGTATCACAGTAATGACATTTGAGTCAGTAAAAAGCCAGTCACTGACTATTTAGTATTTACAGGCACAACATATTTTATTAAGGGAATAACATCAAACAGTCATCAAGGTTTTCGGTAAGAGACTTGTAAAAAGACAGGAAGACAGGAAGGAAGGGGGGGAGGGGGGGGGGAAGAAGCACTACAGATTTGCCAAATAGGTTTATCAACTTGTCTTCTAGATTTTAACTTTCAATTTCATGATGGATGGATGATGCATCAGAGGGAAGACAGGAAGATTGTGGGAAGATCATTAGCTTCATAGTCCAAGTGAGAAAAGAATTCTAGTTCTTCATTTCCCTCATCAATTATATCTTCATCTGTTTGGAAGTATGGCCTGCATTTCCTTTCTTCCTTTCTCAGTCAAATTGCATACTCACAAAGGATTTTTTAAAAAATGAGAGAGAATGCAAACGAAGCATGTGCCACTATTCATAATCCTCTTCTTTCTTTGATGGAAGAAAGGAAACTGTACAAAATTTATCTGTTTTCTACGTCACAAAAATTGTGCCTTGCTATCTCATATATATAAAAAACTACTACTGTTCTCTAAATTTACATGCCAGTGCTGCTAACTCATGTTTTTACTCAAGCAAGAGGTCAGATCAATGAACTTGTCTTCTCTGCAAGGGATTGTCAAACCCCCCATTGGATGATCAAAGCCAAATTCTTCCTCAGCTTGACTCAACAATTCTTGGAATGTAGGCTGATTCAGGTAAGCTATGGGAATCACAAAGCGCTTCTTTTCACTTTCTCCAACATAAACTGCAATATAGCCCTTCGAAACATCCTTGGAAGATGGTCTAAGGCTTTGCTTAGCTTGAATAATACGAGGCAGACGGATGGCCATTACTTTGCTTGGGATGCTTTCTCGTATAGCTTGGTTGAAAAAAAAGAAAGGTAGGAAGACTTGCAAGAGAAAAAAGAAAAGTTTTCGATCAGTGTTTGATAGATTATGTTTAACAAACAAGTTGGAAGGGTATATATAGAAGAATCACAAGTTTTTTTTTTTTATCTTGATGCTGTGTAAGTGTTGAAGACTAAAGAGGCATTTTGGTGGACATTAGAGATAATAGCTGATGAGGTATCACATGGTTATGCCTTCCTATCAAGAATGCAGAACCATGTACTCGTTGAAGCTTATCAGGGCCTACCACTTCCTTCAACAAGAAACAGAGAGGACCACTTCAGAAATTAAAAAATATCAAGACTGGGGAGTGAGCATTCAATGATTGCATAGCAGACATTGTAGCTGTAAAGCTTTTTTTGGCAGTTAAATCCCTACTTTCATCTCCAAGTAACTTGCGAGTTTTGGAAACAATGAAGGGTTAAAATTACTAGCTACCTAATGGAATACGAGCTTATTCAGTGTGCCTCCTAAGGTTGATTTATTCAAGTTTTAGCTGTTGTTGCATGTCAAGAAACCAATCTACATGCTAAAAACTTGAACATCCAAAATCCCTTATCATCACATGATAGACTCGCATCAAAGCCATGCCCAAGTAGCTAATGCCTTTCAGCATTTGAATTCATTTCAGACACAGCACTGTGTAAATGAGACCGTGGTATCGCACATGAACAATGGAAAAGCTCCAGTGATAACATTTCCAGAAGTTTACGAGGTGGTAAAGTTTCTTTTTCTCTCTCCAACTTTCCAGTTTTCATTTTCTGCTAACGGATTAGACATTCCTAATCTGATCTCTCACTTGCCACTACATATTACAAAGCAACATTGTCAGCTAGGAGAAGAGGCATAATTTAATGATCAGTAATTGGAGAAAGTCATAAAACTACAAACTTCTGAAGCAATATAGACCTTGTACGCGGTGGAGGAATTGACAAATTTGCGTGTTAAACGTACATGCCATTAAAACATGGCTTCTCCGGCAAGAAACCTGTTACTTCATGGATTACATGTTGGAAATTTCATTATCCATTAACTTTGAAGTGGTTGATCAATTACAGTAGCGTATGGTATGAATTCGTACATTTTCTGCTTTGCAGATTTAAGCCATTTTATCATGTAGCTATTAATTAAATACCAAAAGAAGAAAAGGAAAAATGCCAAGTGAAGATGTCAATCTGTTCCATGACAAATTGTATTTACAGTATGCACCGAGGGTGCCCCCAAAAAAAAAAAAAAGAATCTAGTTCTGCTTTTTCCCAAAATTGGATTTACCAGATTCTAGCAATTCTGCTAAAACATAAGCTTCCAAATTTGCAATCACGGCTTGTTTATCCTCCTTATGGGGACCTTAAGTTGCAGGTGAGATTGATAAAAATTTCTTCCGTGCATGGAATTGTCAGAGCACCCATAGGGTGGTTGAATCCAAACTCTTTTTCAGCCTGGGGTAGCAAGCACCGAAATGAAGGATGGTTAAGGTAATATAATGGGATCACATATCTCTTCCTACTGGCTTCCCCTACATAAACAGCAAAGTGGCCTTCTGGTACATCTTTACCTCCTAAATTTGAAAGAACTCGATTCATAATCTGCTTAGCATGAAAAATTCGTGGCACGTGAATACCCATTATTCCTGGTTAAAGCTCACTGTGATTGATTCTTGCACTTCGTGGACGAGGTATTGTTATGTTGGATTTGGTTTGAATGGCAGCAGATATATATAGTACAGGGAGACAGGAGAAGGTGGTGAAAGATCTTTTGACACGAGAGGGCGGTAAAAAAATACATTTGACATTGAGGTCCACATAAAAAAATAATATGATTTTCTGTTGTTTGATTGCGCTCACCAAGTATCCACTAAGATCACAAACTTTAGAGTTGGTCATGGCTGCTGACAGACAAAGGAGGTTCGACACATGAAGATGTTCTTATGATGTAAACTAATAAGTTTCTGAGCAACAAATGGTTCTACAGAGACAAGAAATTAATGTTATGTTCATTGGTGATTCTAGTAGTATTGATGCATACTAGTAAGATAATGAGCATCACATATTTCAGCAGCGACAAGCAACACATTCAATGTTGGTTGATGTTCCCAAATTGCTCAACTAGAAGTCAAGTTATAGTGCATTCTTAAAATTATCTTTTATGCACCTGGTTGAGCAGATACAAGTAAGGCATATCATGTTTGTTGATGGTTCTACATATTTAGCCAATTGCTTACACAACTTGGGTATCAATGTATTCTTGACATAAACTAGTAACACAATGAACATCACACAGTTCTGCGGAGACGAGCGATGCACATCATGTTGGTTGATGGTTCTACATACTAAGGCAAAATGCTTATATACCAATTAAAAAGTTGGGTATCAATGTATATTCTGCTTGTTAATATATTGGGTGGATTAAATAGCAAAATGGAATTCACCAAGCATGTCTTTCTCAAAAAATAAACTAAAAACCTTGCCATGTCCATACCAGATGGAGATTGGTAATATCTCCTTTCTCTCAAAAGAAAAGTGGGTAACATGTATATGAGTTAACATTTCAAGAGAACACCCAAAAAAAAATAGTTTAAATGATTTTCAAGAACTGAGAGAGAGCAAGTATGAACAAAGTCGAAGCGTGAAACTGGGGATTACTGAGATTCCTCCTTTCCATAAGGTGACAGCAAGCCCAGCCACATCCTATATTCAGAAAAAATTCAAAAATGTTGAAGTTGCTTTTCTTTCAATTCCAGTTAGCACAAATTTTCTAGATGTAATGTTGCATAGCTACTCCAAGCAGCTTTTGCTTCAGAGATGTTACAATTGGTACTTCACCAGAGTGCTTCTGTACTGCAGGCTACATGGGAGTCTCTATTCTTCAACAATGCTCCCTCGCTGAAATGAATTTAAACTCTGTAACGTCCTATCTACTTGTTTGATATGATTTCAACTTCTATTTCCCCGCTGGTATGAAATGAATCGATTTAGCAAGTGGAGAGTTTTCAGTAGGTAGATCGATTGCTTACTGTGCAACAACAGTAAACTAATATTAACTGTAGTAGGACAAAAAATGAATAAGCCCAAATTCCATTTGGTACTGATTTTCATCCTTCAACATTTACCAGATTTGTAGATTACCTTGAGATGACAGTAAGATTTAGATGGCAAAAAGCTTCAGTGGCCTAATAACTTCTGGTGTGCAATCATTGAACCTCAGTCTTGATACTTTAAGTTCAAAAGGGGTCCTCCTTGTTAGATGTTCAAGAAAGTTGTAGGCCCTGCTACACTTCTTGGTTCTAAATTCTTGATCATTATTTGGGAGGCAAAACCATGTGATAATGCATGACTCATGTCCTGTCTTTAATGTCCGAAGAAAAGCCTCTTCACCACATCAACAAAATGATGATTCTTCTGTATATAAGCTCATAACTTGATTAGCACAGCACCAGTTCTTCATTCACAAACATTATAGAAAGCCTTCTTTATCCTTTAAACCTTTCTATTCATTGTTTGTTTGATTTAATACAAGGAAGCATCCTGTACAACAATGGCTATTCGTCTGCCTCGTATTATTCAAGCTAAGCAAATTCTTAGGCGCTCCATATTGACGTCTAATGCTGCCATTTCAGCTTCTGTAGATGTTCCAAGAGGCTATTTAGCAGTTTATGTTGGAGAAAATGAAAAGAAACGATTTGTGATTCCCGTTGCTTACCTGAATGAGTCTGCATTCCAAGAATTACTAAGCCAAGCCGAGGAAGAGTTTGGTTTTGATCATCCAATGGGGCGTTTGACAATCCCCTGCAGAGAAGACATGTTCATTGATCTCACTTCTCGCTTGAGTAGATGTACGAGTTAACCGAGCTGGCACGCAGTGTTAGACAATAATAGTATTTAGTTGACATAGCAAAGCACAATCTTTGTAATGTAGAGCATGCAGATTGCTTTTGTACATTGCTTTTTTTTCCATGAAAGCAGAGCATTATGACTATTTGAAGCTGTCTGAAACTGCCATTAGTAGAGGAACAAAATACAGCTTCAAAAGAATGATTTATTAATCTTCCTTATCAGATTCGACCTGCAGCATTCTTCTGTTTAAGAGCAACATTTGCAGAATAATATTCATGATCCATGCTACTCTTCATATTCTTCAAGAAGAAAAGAAAGGTATAAATCAATTAATTGGAAGAATAATTGTTGGCCTAATTGGGAGCACAAGAATTGCTTGTGTCTGTGTTTAAGCAACACTATTGTTACGTGTTGATTGGTGGTTAACTTTCCAAGCAAACTTCTTTTGAAACTTCTGTTCTGCAATGCCTTAAAATCTAGACAGAGGACAAGTAGTACTGATCTCAGACAATTTGATTAATGACACATATAATCAAATCGAAAGAGCAGGCAACTTGATTAATGACATATTAATCAACTATTCAGGATAAAGAGAGAGGAGTTTATTTCATAAGAGGATTTATCTCAAGTAATATAAGAGTGAGTTTGAGCAGAAACAAAGGGGTTGATGCAGATTACTAACCTTGCTATACCTCTTTTATGATGTTACGAAAAGCCCTGATGACATCTGCAGAAGATTCACAACTTGTAATAATTACCAAACTTGCAACATCAGTTACATCACAGGTTCATCTGAGTGAAAACAAGCCATGATCTAAAAGAATTGCCCACAAAAAAAAAAAAAAAAAAAAGAAGCCTTCTCCCTTTTTACTGGTAACATGAGGAGCATGGTGTTTATGCAGCTTGAGACAGAAAGGAAGGCAATTGACAATAAAATTATATAGGTGAATTGCAATTAAGGCAAAGCAAGTATTTTACATCAGATTAAAGCACCCACCTTCGTCCTTACTCAAATTTGGAGTATTGCATTTCCAGCTAGATGTGTTAGAATATATATATATCTCCTACATAAGCCTGGTGCGTATATTCAATTGTGAGCAGTGTAACTGACCAGTGAAGACTTCTCCGAAAGAATGGGCAAATCCAATCTCTTCTTAAGTGTTTTGCTGCAATATTAGAAGTTTTAGCGGTGGTCAATATCTCCAAGCTTACAAGTTACATTCAAAAGAAGCTCTTGCAGATTGCAGTGAAGTTTGAACACATAAGTAGGAGACAGCTTACGAGAAAAAAATTTGAAGGTCAATCCTCTCAGTCATAGGTTGTCCTCATCTGTTAATGAAGATGTTTTTACAGCGGTTTTTCCACCAAAAATCATTTTGGGTCCAGAAGATAAACATCAAAAGCCAGGGTTAAGGAAGCAGATTACTGAATAGGTCCCCATTCAATCCACTCAAAATGAGAAGCTGTTGGAAATTGAGGAGAAGATGATGGAAAACGTGCAATGAGATGGGGTTGGATCGATACATAGTGCCTAAGGAATTAAGGATGAGTTGCATCCTAAATCAATTTAGCATAAGGCAGCTCTAAAAAATTTGGATGCAGCAGACAAATTGTTGGTGTCTGTCTCAACAGGGCAATAAACGGAAATTAAGTACTAATGCCGATGTTTCACTGTTTAGAGAAGACAACAAATTCGAGAACGGACAAGCTGCTGCATTAGCACATCTTCAGAAAGAGTTCAAACCAAACCTCCTATTCAAAAGCAGATGATGCGAAACTAGGATTACAAAAAGGCACACAAATGAAAGATGTTTTTGACGGCTCAATCGTACGAAACCAGACAAAATTTATTGTTATTGCATTACATCTGCAATTATTATCAGACTTCTAAATCAGAATAAAAAACAGGTTCTTAAAAGCAGACATTCATGCATCAATCTACTTGTAGAATTCCAACACCCAAAGGTCAAAGAGCCGACATTCGACTCTTATGCCTCTAAATCCTGCTTTAGTAGCCAAGGCCCGAAATTCCAGCTCTGATCTCCCCTTTGCACCGGGGGAACAAACAGCCATCATGAAAAGATCAATTTGCATATTGCTTTTGGCAGCTGCTTCGCTATTTTCAGGATTCACAGGAACGATTGCATCGACAACAATTACCTTTCCATCATTTGGTAAAGCCTTGTAGCAATTCCTCAGCAACTTCAAGCAATGCTCATCATCCCAATTGTGAAGTATCCACTGCAATGATTAGATACCCCATAAAATCATCGTGTCACCAAGGGAAAAAAATAGAAAAGAAAAATATAATTGCATAAGCACGAAAAAAGAATTGTAAGAAAAAAAAAAAAAGAAACCCTTTAATTTCATGCACATTATATAAATTCTTGATATTTCAACTTACCTTCATAAAAATTGCGTCCGCTTCTGGAACACTTTCAAACATATCACCCCCCTTATGCTCAATCCCTGCAATTTCACACGTCTCTAACTCAATTGCAGAAGGTATGTATGGCTTTCATGGATTTTGTAGATCAGAATCTAAAACTCATGCAGAAATGTGAAAGCAAAAGACTCAATCAAGCATGACTTCTTCGAACAAGAATAATTTAATGTTATAACAAACTCAATGAGGTCTTGACTAGTAAAAGAAAGAATGTACTTTACTTAGTAAGTGCCATTTATTTCGATTTGTATCCTAAGTAATATTCAATTAATCAAATGCAGAATCTCTATGGTCACCACGAAAATCAATACATGAAGGACAAATGATATTATACATACCAGGGTAGGATGGGGCAACCTCAATAACATGTGGCAAGTCAAAATTAATGCCCTTAATGTTGGGGTATTTAGATGTTATCATATGGATGGCTTGTCCAACAGCACCACCCACATCAGCTAAGGTTTTGAGATTTTCAAAACCCTTGTAGCACTCGAGGGCCTTTTCTAGGACCACCTTTGTATGGCAGCTCATCGCGTTATTGAAAGCCTCATTGTACCTGGGATCTTTTGTCATATACTCGTATAGTTCACAGCCATGAGTCCTCTTGAATGCATTTCCTCCTTCCAGAACTGAAGCTTCTAATTGATACCTGAAATTGATCCAAGTTGTATCTTAGAATCAAATGGGGTACTACCATTAGTTGAATAGCTTAGAATACTATACTAGTGGCAAGTTAAAATATAGCCTTAAAGTAATTGCAAAATTTGAAGTGTATATAATTGTTTATTCCTTGTTGCAACATTTTACTCATAGCTCCTCATTTTTATATTTTATAGTTGGCCTCATACACGTAATTTTGTCTTCTTAATCAGTAAATTGTTGATGTTCCTCCATATATCAAATTTAAAATGAAGAAAATAAGGCCTTTAACTGCTATATAAGAAGCATTTGATCATCCCCAATAGAGTGATGGCGTTGTATTGAGACAAAACCTTTCATTAGAAGCCTAATTTTAGTTTAGACCTTTTAATATCTTTATGATCTAAGGTGTACCTAAAGTTTGAATAAAAACAAATATTTGATATTTATAATTTTGAGGAAAGTTGTCCCAAAAAACTTTGAAAAGGGCTAAATATGAACCTTTCTGTGTCCAATTTTGAACAAAAAGGGAAAAATAAGAAAATCTTGCCAAGTTGTGATGGTGAGAATCATGTCAACATTAGTTAAAACAATAAAACTTAAAATCTAGAATTGTCTGCACAAATTACTTCCCCTTTTTTAACCAAAAGAAAAAAAAATCAATCTTTTTTCAGTATTTGCAAACTAGAGTTTCAAGTAACATTAATATGAAGTGAGACATAGGTAAATAACGACTTTACGATGGATTTTAAAATAATAGAGTCAACATTATTGTTGTCACTATTAGCAATTATACAAAAAAAAAAAAATATAGTATACATTTTCTTTTTGGTAGAAATAGGAAACATTGAGATCCAAATTTGGTAATATACGTTTCCTCTTTTTGGTGTTTACTACTCAAGTTTTCCTGAGGCATGGTCTATAATTTAACAAATTGGATATGACTGATCAGAAACAAAATTTGCAAATGTACCAGGAGTCCATCAGCAGTTTATTTTGAAGGTAGACCGAAAGCTGCCTCAGAGTTGCTCCATATTGGTGTTTGATAAAGTACTTGGCAACCGGTGCCAACCCATATCGTCTTTCATGATGAGCACCGGCACCACCATCGACGACCGAGCAAGTCAAGACCGAGTAGCCGGCAAGGAGGCGAAGCATCCGGTCCAGAAAATCAGGTGCATCAGGGTTTTTTGTGGGCATTTGGGATACAATCTCGGAGGGTGAAAGTTTTCCACCAGGTCCAGCTTTTGCAATGATTTCCAGCACATCCAGCTTTACGGCGGCGTTCAGCACCATCGGCATTGTCATCATTGTCATCAGCTGCATGGCGTAGGAGAACCATTGCTCTTCTTCTTCTTCTTGTCCACTTATGGTATGTTGGCTTTCTACCCAGCAAGACTCCATCAACGATCTTGAATTTTTTAGTGATGAAATTTAGGTATGGCAATGGCAGCACTGAAATTGTCTGATTTAATGAGCAGCTGTTTTAAATTTTAATTGATAGGATATGTTTCCCAACCAATTCTTCACGTCAAATATAACTTCTTAGTACATCAATTGTAATGGACGCAGGGCGTACACTACCTTTCGGAATAATATAATATTTTTTAAATAAAATGTAACTCTACATAAACTACTTGTAAAACTTTACAACAGATACACAATTATTACATATTAAACCAACATGAATAATAACAAAAAATCATTTTTTTGTTGTAAGAATATACAAGAAGTTTACGTAGCATTATAAAATCTTTAAAAAATGGTACACTATTCAGGTCAACTATCCCTGCCCCCATCCCAATTGTAATATATTCTTTCCTTTTTTAGATATATGTAATCTTCTTGTACCATTTATTTGTCAAACTATGAAAGATTTGATTAACGAGTGCTCAATGAACACATATTAAGATTTTTGAAGTGTTAACCTTAGAATTAATCTTTTCTACACTAACAGTGTGTACACTGTCAATTTTGGATAAATGATAATTGTACAAAATTTAAATTTGAAATCTAACTTTTACATATGTATCATGAATCTAACCGTGATTGTATATAAGATTTACTCTTAATCTTATAGTTAAGTTAATTCAAAAAGTATCGAAATGCAAAGGGTACAATAAATGTGAATATTGTCTTGATATAGTAAATTAGGTATAATTTAAATATACTGACAATCGCTCAGTTGATAATTATTGGGCAAATCCAACAATGAATCCGAATCATAAATTCCTTGGACACATGGTATGGACACTAATAAAAGCAATGTATTAATGTTGGTTGTACAATGAAGTACAACTTTCTAATAATAAAAAGCGGCAAAACGGAGATATCCACTTATCCATTCATATAAACGATCATTATCCATATAATTCATATATATCCAATTAGTAGAAGAAAATGATAAAAAAGACACAACTGTATTAATTCAGTCATAAGCTGAAACTGTCTCTTTTTTACTCTTTTCCTCTTACAACAGTGGAACCTCAAGACATTTTTCATTAAGGAAGCATAGAAAAATCATCAACTAATGTCAAAGTAATTTTATTTTTATTTGTTTTAAAAAGTGGCAGCTAAATTGTTTGTTGAGAGAGAAATTGTAGATGGCCCAGCAATATAGCATAGTATTACATGTCTCTGTTCTCAACAAATAAATTAGAGAATTTTCCATCGTTGAACAAGAAAAAAAGCACTCACTCTATTCATTTTCATTTGATATTTTGTTTAGGCGACATTGCATTGAATTTATAAGCATTTACATAAATCATAAGTTTGCAGCATCATTATTTCATAATTTGCATCAAATTTTTTAAGATTGGGATTACCAACGAAGATACATAAATTTTTGGAATATAAATTGATATGCAGATTTGGACCCTAAATTTAGGACTTGGGTGAGTAAATGGTTAAATGGATGAATCATGGTTTTGTAGTATCCGTCTAAATGGCATCCAATTAGATCCATTTATTAAATGGTTCTAATTGGATTGGATCAATTTTATCCACAATACATTTAACTAAAACCATTTATCCATTTTGTCACTTCTAGCCTTCGATCACAACTTTAATACAATAATAACTTATTTTATTAGCACTAAAATCCATGCAAAGTGTAGATTTAAATTGAGAGAATATGAATTTAGCATTTTTTTTTTTGCTTTTGTTCAAAAAATGTGCCCATCATCGACATTTTGCTAATCACATAGTAGGTGAAGGAGAGCCAAAGCAGGATATGTAAGAGAGGACGAACCAGGGGATGTAAAACAAAAAGAAAAAAAGCAAAATAGTATTCTAATTTCCTTGAAATTTCTTTTTAAAAAATTTAAAAATAAAAGGGATGAAATTTAAGAAGTGAAAAGGGGAAAGCAGGATTAAAGCACATACTCTACCACGCGCAGTTGTAAAAATGATATGTATCGGCCCTCAATAGGAGAAGCCCATCTCTTAAAATTCCACCTTGTAGTTCTATGTTTTTCCTTTCATCTTACAAGATTTATATATTATAGGTACAGCAATGAGAAGTGTATGGGACAAAATATCCATACAAATGAGGAAAGATGCATTAAAAACCATAGCAAATATATCTATATATTTGGTAGAGTTAAATAGATAAGAAGTGCATGGCACAGATTTGTCCATAAGAGATAAATCAACAACCACACAATGTGGACCACTCTGAACGTGTCCCCTTCCCTACATTTAAATATATAGTTATCAAATCGTCTTTAATTTTTTTTTCTGTTGTTTTTCATACAAATACTGAACACATAAAGAATACGGGGATAATTTCATAAACATCCTCTAAGGTATCTGACAATTTCGCTGAGCTTTGTTAAGATTTTAAAAATTATACATATTTTTTCTTAATTTGACACTTTTAGGAACCAAACTTTTGACTTGGTCAAAAATTAAAATGAATATTCCAAAATACACTCACCTTATAAAGTTCAATTGCTCTCTAAAGCAATAACAATATGTTTAGCCCACATATATTAAAAAAAAAAAAATGGTTGTCGAGTTTTCAATACCAAATTTATTGTTTGATAAGCAATTATGATAATAAGTTTACTACTATGACAAAATATATTTTTTCGATACCAAATTTATTCTTTCTAAATTAGAGAAGAATGCGTCGTCATAATGCTTTTAGAGTTGGTGGCTTTTCGGATTCGTGAAACTATCATAATGCTTTACAATAGCAGTTTTGAATCTTTTTTTTTTGGAGTTAGTATTGCTTTTAATACCAAAAAAAAAGAAAAAAGGATTGACAAATAAAAATTGGATCACATTAAAAGTTCTTCACAAAAATGTCACTAGCTTAACATCTAATCAGGACGTCTAATTCTCGAACTCTCAACCTTAACTGTTAGATCAAAACCTTCTTAAGCCGTTGTAAAAAAATGACATATAAATGTGATAAACGACCAGATTTTATGAATTTCAAGGCGAAATATCAGCCACATTCCCCAATTTCCCTTCCGTGGGAAGGTACAGAACCTGCAAGTTTTCTCAATTTATTAAAGAAACATGTTTTCACGAAATTTTTCCTTAAACTGCAGGCTATCTCTTTATCTAGGAGGCACTCCAAAAGAAGTTTCAGTGGTGCACCATATTGGTGTTTAATCAAGTACTTGGCCGCCGATGTCAACCCATAACGTCTCTGATATTGACCACCGGAGCCACCAGCCATGACGGAGCAAGTGAAGACGGAGTAGCTGACAGGTTGTCGATGCCTGTGCAATAATAAAAATAATTCTACTTACCAATTAAAGTAATCAAAACCCGATTCTAAATACTGGAGCAAGAACTCTAGGTGTGCAATGGGTTACTTGATTCACCGTATTCCCGAAGAGTTAGCTTAATCCGATATACCAAAATGGGATTGCATATTCACGAGGATTTATTGATTTGTATAAAGGGCAAGTAGGGTCGTCTCCTCAGGGATTGGGGTTATTTGTCTCTTTTGGAATTCAAAGTACAAGGGGGTGATTTTGTATAAAAGATGCCAATTAAGACAGTTCGAATAAAAACAAATAGCTAACTAAAAATTAAATGACAATTCACTAAAATCAGAGTAATAATAATTAAAGGTTTAGCCAAGAAATAACTTCAGCAATGGTTCACCTAATTGATCATCGATGCAAAAGTAATTCCCATTATTTACTAATAAATAGGTTATAACCGTCAAACAAGTGATGACAGTCAACCCCTCCTTACTATGTCGGTGATTAAGGTACGCCCGTTAATCATTGCTCTAATTGAGAAATAATCCTAGGTAAGTCTGTAAGATTTAATTTCCCAATTGCCTTACGTATTAGAGGAGCCCTATTCTAACCAAGTAACGTACTACCAGGGTTATTTTAGATTAACCTACATATTCCCCTGACACCAACTTAATCATGCCAGATGTCACTATTTCAGGACAATTAAACAGTTACGGATTTAATGCTCTAATTGACAATAGGTTACCAAATCAATTCGACATCCGGATCCAAGATAATCAATTAATTAAATAACCATAAGTACTGTAATCAGAGAATATTCAAATACCAATAAATAAGAGGAATAGATAAAATTAATTCTTTTAACAAAAAAAAAAAAAAAAGATAAAATTAATTCGATCTCACAAATTTTAAACGAACCAAAACCTCCGTTGTTCCTTGACTAAAAAACATGGATTTAGTTCATCCCTGATGAGTAACACCCACACAAAGTTGATGAAACAGTAGCGGCCATTATCCTTGATAGGGAGAATTCAATACGTTCGAATAATGAAGGAAAAAAACGAAGCTACGGCCAATGATTCCTTGGTTTCTACCTTTTCCTGACATACGAGAGAAGAAAACTACTAAAAGACGAAAAGAAAAAGTCAAGAAGTAGTAACTACCGTCTTCTCCATTGTCTATCTAATTCCTACTGCCCTCTACTATTGCTGCGCTCCAGAGGAGAAAGGGAAGACTCCTGGTCTTGTTTCATCTGCTCTCTCTTCAGCAATTACTAAAAGCAGAAAAGTTTCCATCTTTCAAAAGTGCCTCTGGATGTTGTATTTGTCCCTTTTTATGGTATTTGCGTTCCATTCCCTGCAATAAATATAAATTATCAAAAGTGAGTAGAATTTGACAATTAACCCACGTCGAATAAGGTAATAGAGAAAATTAATTATAAAATAAATAATAAAATTGTAACCTATCAGTAACTAGCCAGGAATGCAAGCATCCGGTACAGAGTGGCCGGTGCATCATCGGGGTTTTTGGTCTCTAAAACATCCATCCTAACACAGTGTTTAGCACCAAAAGGCACCTGAAGCCCCCGTCGCCAATTGCATGGCGTGGCGGAAGCATTGCTCTTCATGATTTTCTTCTTCTTTTTCTTCTTCTTCCTTAGCTTCTTTTTCAGCTTTTCGATTATTATAAAACTCTGCCCAGATGGAATGAGCGTCTTTTCTTTATTGCTCAGTGTAATATGTAAATACGTACAAGGTGCAAGATTGTAAGTATTTGGTTTTTAAATATAGTTAAGAATTGTTTGTAAAAACGATGCGCTAAAAAGATAATTCATGTACTAAAAAATGAAGCATAATTGGAGTAAAAAGGTTATATGATGTCCCCAAAAAAAGAAGAAGAAGAAGAAGAAGAAACCGGGCAATAGCCAATAGCCGATAGCCAACAAACACTCAAGACTCTGTCACATTCACAAAGTCAAATTTGTAAAATTCAGTAGCTTTGGGCGCTAGCCGACAATAATAAGGTCAAAACAATTAAGAAATGGGATTAGTGAGTCAGAGAATAAGTGAAAACATAAAAAAAAACATAAATTAATCAAAAAATTGAATGATTTAAAATAATGTAATATGTATATATTGGTCAGCGCAACTTTCTTGTCCGGTAAAATTACAATTGGGATGGAGTCGTGGACTATTCTCCAACCATAAAAATGAGCAGATATTACATTTTTCTATTTCTCTACCTTTGTTCTCAAGAGAGGGGGCCAAATCATGGCCTGCAAAAGAATGAAGCACAAATGGAGGAATTCTCAACAATTCGCCATGTTGAGGGTGGCAGTGCCAGTGAGCTTGACCTCGACAATCTACACTGAGTTGAATCAAGAATTCAATACATTAACAACACAACGTATTTTCAATTTCTTTAACAGATTTTAAATAATCAATTTAAAAAAGAAAAACAAAACACAAAACACAACAAAAGTCGTTAAGGATAAACTAGGGACTGGGTTTAAATCTCTCCTCCCTCTTCCGTTACTTTTTGAATCTCAACTATCCTCTACCAAAAAAATATATTTAAAAAAAATTTTTTAAAAAAAACAAGGGAGAGGGGAGAATACAAGTTCATGTGAAGAATCCAGTGACCAAGGGAAGACTAAGTCCCGTTTGGATTGCATTTTCCGTCATTTTTCATGGAAAAATTACTATAGCGATTTGATGTATGTGAGGAAAAAAGGTAATAGGAAAATGTGTTCACGGAAAATGACGAAATTTTTCTACGGAAAACAGCAATCCAAGCAAGGCCTAACTTTTAAGATCTTCCTCGCTATCAGATTTAGAGTTTGATTCTTATGCCTAACCGTCGGGAATGAAAAGGGTAAAAAAAGAAAATTGTAAATACTCATCTTACATTCTCCCTTTCAACATTCAAATCCTATATTTACAACCATATGATTGTAAAGTCTCCATCCAAAAGGTATTCGCACTCTACCATTCTATTATACCACAGTATGAATATAGGTTTTTTTTTTTTTATAATCAGTATGAATAAGATAGAAGTGTACTAACATAAATTTTAAACACCAGTCAAATCACGGTGGCAATTGGCAATCACCAGTTCACCAAACTGGAGCCATAGATGCGGAGGAGGAATTTGGGCCTCAATGAAAATTGTGGGACTTGATATGTTCTCCAAGTTGGATTCTGGTTTCCTTTTTTTTTTTTTTTTGAACAATATGGTGGCCGTTTTTTTGGATTTTTTTACCATAAAATATTTCGTATAGCACATTTGTTCCTAAATACATAGATGAAATAAAAAAAAAAAGGTAAATGAAAACCATACTTCCTCCGTTCCATTTTGATAATTTTGTTTTTCTTTTTCATCCGTTCCAAATCATAATAAACCTTTCAAGTGAAGAATATTTTTAACTTTTAACTTCTCTAAAATTTCGTTTATTTAATATACTTCATTATCAATAAATATAATTTGTCTTATTTAATATAGTCAATTTTTTCACTAATAATTGTTTTCATATATATCTTGAATGGTGCAATATATCATTATTATTATTATTATTGTTATAATTAATGTAAAAGTATAGTAATTAGTGATACTCAAAATATTAATATAAAGGTACTTTAGAAAAACATTAGACTATATTTACTTTTTCAACAATATTAACTACTTTTATCTAAATTGAGTGAAAAAAAAATTAAAACTATTATAGTAGGACGGAGGAAGTATTTAATTTTTCTAGGAAACATGTCTTAAAAAAAAATGCCCAGACAATCGGAGCCAATGTATGGTCCGGCGGTGGTTCAGTCCCCTCCGAATTACTCCTGAGCCTCCTTAGGTCCATCCCCTCTCGCTAATATATGATAGATTAAGTTATACAACAGTTGTCGTCTTTAAAAAAAAAAAAAAATTTGGAACCAATGTAATCTAAATCTGAGACATGAGTACTTAAATTAGCATACCACAAACACAACTATTATATATGTTGAGCCCCCAAAATTTACACGAAGCACGCGCACATGCATACGAGATATGACAGCGGGGCACCAAATCTTATCGGCAGATCTATCCTTTTTTCTCCCTGGCTCAGATCCCCAGAATTGACTCTACGCAATAATTGGCTGGAGAATTTGAGTAGTGTGTTTGACTAGATTTTTTTCTGAAAAACTTGTGTAATTTTCTTGGAATATATATAGGAGGTGTTTTGTGGGTTTTAAATTTTAAGAATTTCAAATATAGAAAAAATCACATTTTTTTTTTTACACTATTGGTACTGATAGAAAACCCATAATGTCCAGGCATTTCATAAATCTTAAAACGAATATGGTTTTAGAATTCAAGGAAGATCAACTGGATTTTAGTTTGTAAAATATAGCAAATTTAGCTCTAAAGTACATCACAAGACCACGCATTACCTATAGACTCTAATTGACTACAAAAATGTTTTTAAAAAAAAAAAGAAAGAAAATTTCTAGCAGCGAACTGGTAAGATATAAGAAGTGGAGAGAAGACAAAGAGATTAGAACTCAATACCTCTAATTCCTCGGGCCTTCTCTAAAAATAAATGACGTTTAAGATGCTATATAATGATAAAACCTCTAATTTCCGATTTATGGTAATTATAGCATCTTTTTCATGTCTTTGAAAAAGCAATAAATTCAAACTGCTCAAGGAGGAAATACCAAAAATTAAAAAAAAAAAAATCAAAACAACAAAAACAAAGGTCGAGATGAGCCTATATTCAGATAGACAAAAGATGGCAAAATTCTTTGAGTCTTGGCTGGTGGTGTTGTTAAAAGTTAAAACTCATATTTTAACATCACAACAATTTTTCATAAATATTGAAATTTTCATGTCTTGGGTTTTACAGTTTCGGTCATGGTAAGGAGCAACACTACTATTTGTTTTTTTCCTTTTGATAAATAAATTTTAAGATACTACAAATAAGTGTCATCATTATGGATTTGTTATCATTTTTCACCTTAATAAACTCAAAGTTATTGTTGATTGACTGGGTACCTAACCAATAATATTAATTAATAATTACTGTAGTACTTTTTATGATGTGATGTATGTGAAATAAAAAGTAGTTAGGAATATAAAAAAGGTAATTGGGAAATGTGTTTGTGATGCAAGCGAAATATTATATGAGATAATTTTGGTATCCAAACACTCCCATTGTCTTCATTCTTCAACTATCGTAGCTTTGACTTTTATGGAATGCTGAAGCAGGAGGAGGGGCATAGAAAATTAGTTAACAACTCAGAGATGAATTTGCAAGCAACAAAATCGTAACCGGGACGAACAGTTAAAAATATTAGGCAAATTACTTAAAATAGCTATTATAGTACTTGGAATAATTTAATTTGGTTATTAAACTGTTTTGGATTTTAAATTACTCGCACACCTTTTAAAACAGCAGGCTATTCACCATTATACCGATAGTATGAATTCGTGTGCAATTTATTCCATGGTTTTCGTTCGAGTTAAACCCAAAATTATATGGAATGATCCAAAATGCTCAACTTCAAGAGTTGATGGGCAATTTTCAAAGAATTAAGCAGTTCAGTGATGAAAAGTAGACTATACTCCAGTAGTTTGGTGACCATTTTAAGATATTGTAAAGTAGGAAAAAGTATATCATATGTTTAATCCGAACAAATCCTACGTTTAAATCCCTTTTTTTTTTTTGTGAGGAGAGGAATGAGTTTGAAGGTTCGCAGTAGGAAGTATATATAAGAGTTCTCGCATTCGAACCTTTTCATTTATACGATAAAAAAGAAAAAAAATCCGTTCTTTTCTTTTTGTTTTGTCTTTTTGCACGGCAATTTGTTTTTCCTTTTTCATCTAAAGAGTCTAAGCTGCTAAGCCGATGTAGGTTAATCACCCAAACTTTTGCTCCTATGCTGGACACGAATAGACACATTTTCTTGGTTTGTTTTAAATGCTGAAGCCTCTTGGAATGTTGTGTCAATGTTGCCTATCTAATGTATATCCTCTTTTTTAAAAAAAAAAAATTTTCATCTCAAAGTGAAAATGTGACAAAGGAATTAAAATTCAGAGCTTTTAATTAATAGGATCTCAACTTTAACCGTTAGATCAAAATCTGTTCAATTCGTGTATCCTCGATTTCATCGGACCTTGTATATCCCCAACTTCAAGTAAAGAGGAAAATGTGTAAAAAACATGTATGTTTATTTATCAGCAATACTCTTATTTTATTAAGCACTTATTATATTTGTAGTAAAAACTAAAAAAGGTCGTCGTAAAAACCGAACCGAACCGAACCGAACCCCTTGTGAGTTGTGACCCACTAATGAAAAGCAATATAATATTGCTTGGTTTGATTTTCTCATAGCACACCAAACAAAGTCGAAAGTTCATCTCTCTCTTCATTGAATTTTGCAATTTTTCTTTTTTAATTAACTTCCTACCAAACGGATGCCGAGCAATAAATTGTTTTAATTATTGACCACAAAAGAAAATGAAAAAAAAAAAAGAAAACTAATGTCAATAAATAATTAGCTAAGGCAGCAATTTATGGCCTTTTGTTTATTAACTTAAAGAAGACGCATTTAATTCTAGGATAATTTTACAGATCTAAGGGCACGTGTCTCCTGTCTTGAACATGCCAAATGGTTATAATTTTGTTTAATCTACTTTTCCTTCAATGCCAGACATCCATCTGAGGTTGGTGTAGGATAAGTTTGAATTTGGAAGCATAATTGTTAGTGAAAAGAACCATTGACTAAACACAAG